ATATGAGTCCCAAGTATCATCCACAAGTATCTTATTTTTAATTACCACTTTACAAATTGACAATTAGTTGAATCACACAATTCATTTGGAAGATTTCTAACATGTAAAAAGATGAGAATTAAGAACAATAAAAGGTAATAAAATGCTGTAAAACAAAATACGAATTTTATATTGAAAATGATATGTGAAAATTAGTTAGGAATTAATTTACCAAATTTTCAATCGCAATATAATCATGTTCTGCACTCTTGAGAATTTTAATTGATTGATAATCAATTTCACTTCTTTAACCAAAGGACAATTTTTTACCTCATTGATCCTAATACCTAATTAAACTTCCTTAATTCCTTAGGTGAAATTCAATCAAATACTGCATTAAGTTCTAGAAATTATAGGATTACTAGATTATGATATTTATTCCTAAGATCTCAATAACTTAAGCATATGATTCAGATCTGAGAAATAAACTCAATTTTTATTGATGAAGATTCCTCTAAGTTCAATTGAATGAAGGATTAGTTCACAACTACATTAAAAATAGAATCACATACTCAATTCAATTAAAATCTCAAGATCCAAATCCAAAATTACATCACAATATCAAATATGGATTCATAGATCCCTAACCAAAAAGGTTTAAAACAACATTACAATGAAAGAAGGAGAAGTAAGAGAAGAAGAAGACAAGGAGCAGAAGAACATCTTCTAAGACCCAATCTTCACCTTGATTCCTCTAGCAGTGAAGCTTGAAAGTCACTCTCAATCCCTCTCTCTGACTTCCTTTGGAAGTTAAAACAGTTAAAAAGTGAAAAATAATAAAAATGATTAAAAGTTTTTAAATATAAACTTCTAACTTCTATTTATAATGTTTTTCCCGCCTTTTTCACTTTCACACTTATATCTCTGAAGGATTATATAATGAAAGGTCTTCTAGAAGCTTCTATAATTGAGGTGGGAATTCAAATCATCCAAAGTCAACACTTAGAAGTGTTTTTCAAAATTATGTTATTTTGCGTTGACACTTTAAGTGGTAAGAGTGTCAACGCGTAAGTGTTCTGTATAGAAAAGCCTCACGCGTAGCTACTCTAAGCGCATAGAGTGGACACGCGCATTTTGCATACCTACTCTCAGTGCTTAGAGTGGACATGCACACTATGAGTGAGTGAATTAGTATTGAGTGTAGCTACTCTCAGTGCTTAGAGTGTACACGGGCAAGGTTTTTCAGGATTTCTGCTGCTAGAGTGTTCACTTTCACCACTTAGAGTTGCTACTATCTTGATTTTCATAGATTTTCTTCTTCAAAGTATTAACTCTATATACTCAAAGTGATTACGCCCAGCACTTATCATTTGATTCTTGCTCTTTTAGGCTCAATCTTTTTACTTTTTCCACTTCAATATCAACTTCAAATTCTTAGCTAAAGCTTTTGCAAAAATTAAGTCTTTTTAAGTCAAATTGTTCATAATTGGAATAAAATCTAAAATTCTAAACTATTTACACAATTATGAATATTGATTTCTAGGTTTATTTAGCACTTTACTACTTATTTATTAACAAAAACTATACTAAAAAATGTAGTAAAATGTGGATTTATCAGGCAATACATGTTGAGTCATATGACTTAGTGTAAAAAATGGACCAAATCAAATACATCTTTGAGAAACTAGCCTTTATTGAAAGGAATAGGCATTGGCAGGTCCTCTTGTCAGAATATGATATTGTGTGTTACCTAAAAAGCAATCAGGGCAGCGCTCTCAAGGCTCGGTGGGCAAGGTTTTATTTATTTATTTATTTTTATAAAATATTTGGGTTATAATATTCAAATCTATTCAACGAAAAAATGATTTATCCTGACTTTATTCAAAATTATTTGAAAAAAAATAATATAAAATAAATTTTTTTCTTTTTCTTTTTGATAGTGTTTATTTTATTATCTTTTAACCAATTTTTAGTGAAAATCATGTATTTTTTTAGTTTTTTTAATAATAACAATAATAATTTTTAAATTAATTAAAATATAGTTTTAATTTTCATTTATATAATTATCTGAGTTGTATTTTTATTTGTAAAAGTTATTTTTTTTATCAAGAATAATAAAAGATAAGTAGTGTAAATATTAAAAAAGGTCACATAATAATTTTTATGTCTTTGTTTATATTTAATTTATTTATTTTAAGATTATTTTTTATTATATTATATAATTTTCAATAGTAATATTTATATTCATTTATAAGTAATAATGAGTTATAATTGTTAATGTCTATTTTATCTATGTTTTATGTGATATAAATTTATAATATATTATTTTTAATTAGCTGAATAATTATCTTAATAACTAACTAAGAAGATTTTTTATACTAATTAGTTAATTTAAGTTGAAATTAACTATTAATAATGTGTAGTGACTCTACCTTTATGCGTTATAAATTATTAAAATCTATGTGTACTAACATTATCTAAGGTCTTATGCAATATAATTTTATCAAATGTAATTTTAATAATTTATTATTTTTTTTAATCAACTTAAATATGTTTATTCTTTTTATATTTTAATAAATTAAATAACCAATCATTTCTCTATTTTTATTATTATATAAATTATTGCAACATTAATGTGTGATTTATATTATTTTTGATTGTTCAAAAATTATAAGAAATTAATGTATAGCTTACGCTATCTTAAATTTTCTTTTGATGATAAGTTAAGTATAAATTCAAATACTTCATTTACAAATAAAATATTTTAACGATTTACTTTAAAGATATGGAAGAGCGAGAACTAAACTCGTCAAATTAAAATAATTTTTTTAAGAATGTTTAGGAGTTAAATAAATAAATAAATATATATATATATATATATATATATATATATATATATTACATTATCCAAAAGGGTCAAATATACTTTTTGCCTAAGATCCGTAAAACAATTAGTTGAAGAAGGTGACCAACGGCATTCAACACCAATAAAAACAGAGAAAATTAAAATTAGAAATTAAGTCATAAATAAAGTGATTACAGATGAGCCCTTACAATAATTTATATGTAAGATATGAATTATATTACCAACCAAATATGAGCAACTTGTAGCAAAGATAATAGAAAGCCCTTGCCCAAATACACGAGCTTTATGCTATGTTGCAGGAAATAACATATAATCAGCAGAGAAATAAGATGGAGGGGTCACAACAGCAGCACTCGTCTACAAGGCAACAACAACATAGAGCTGCAAGACTGGAGAAGAGGCATGTATAGATAGGTGTCAATAATACAAATTATTTGAACTAGAAAATGCTTTTGAATCAAATTAATGAAGAAAAACCAACATAGCAAATGCTATTCGCTACTTACCATCCCTGAAGGAAGCCTGAATGTCTTCTGGGCGGTGGAGCACCATACTGTGGTGGTGCCATCACAGGAGGACCTTCATAATACCCTGCTAACCAAATGATATATAAAAGAAAACTATCGAAAAGAGGAAGCATGAAGATTTGAAAAGGAAAATGATATATACCTTGAGGAGGGTAAGGATGTGCATGCTTGGGTTTAGCCATTTAGAAGAAGCTACTACGATTTTGTCACTCCTTAAAGACAGATTTGGTCTCTTAGTATTAGTAAACACCAAAGTATGTGCCACCGAAGGAACATAATGTATGTGATTTTTTCTTCAAATTTCATAACTAGTTACGTATTATCCTTTGACGGTGCGGTTGGATGCTGAATAAGAGAGGCATAAAAAATTAGCCAATGTGTCAACATCTTAAGCTATTTATCATGAGAGGTGGCACGTCTTCGGATGATATGCCATATCCAACCCCGTCTTCGGATTGTATTTTATTTTAGAATTTAAAGAATGAAATTCTACACGAAGGAATTTTATGTAATATAAATTATCAAGTTTTCATAATATTTCTTTTAGTTTATTGAATTGGAATATATTTATTAGAGTTTTATAATTAAGTAATTTAAACATTTTATAAATAATACAATTAATTCATTTTATAAATGTTATATTATTAATGTGATATGTGATGTAATTTATTTTTTTTATTTTTTTTTGCTAATCGCAAAAGTAATAACAAGTGCATCAATATTTTAAAGAATATAACATGTAATTCTCATCAGAATCATGTTCAATTACTGATATTCTTTCTTTGAAAATTTTTAAAGGTTCTATGGGTTGAGCACTACAACGTTAGAAAATAGGCGTCACAATGCTCAATAATTAAATTTGGTCACAATGCCCAGAAATGATTGATTTCATAAAGAGTTTTCATATAAGTGATTAAAGCTCTGTATTAGAGAACTCGATCTTCTTTGCATAAGTAAGAAGTAGATAGAATAATCTTCAGTATAAGAAAGATAAATAGAAGAGCTTTCAATCCTAATCACTTGTGTTAATTGATTTTTTTGTGATAGTTTGTAATGCTTATGTTATCATTCATTCAAACACACAAATAAAAATAGATTACTGCATTTTAGTTCTTAAAATTTATTTGCGTGATTTGAATGAAGGAGGATTGTACCTTGTAAAATTATGTGGATTTTTTAAGTTCTTACCATTGTTATTGAAGTAATTGAAATAACTCCTTGGAAGTTGGTCAATATAGTTCACTTGCCCCTGGCCATTTCCAGCTCTACAAGGTGCTTCACAATCTCCCACTTCATGGTCTTTGCCATAGATATCACATTCTTTTGCTTGAGGTTGCACTACATTAACCTTCATGATTTGCATTTACATTTTCAATCCCTCCAACTATTGAGTCATGAGTTTTGTTTGTGCTATCAATGCATCTTGAGTTTTAAGCTGCATCATTCCTTTCTTGTTCAAATTTCTTTCACTTGTTAGTTGAAATTCACTAGAAGTCATTACCTCAATGAGCTCTTGTGCTTCCTCTGTTGTTTTGGTGTTCAAATATCCTTTAGCTGATACATGCGTTAATAGCCTTGTTGAAGGTTTGATACCAATGCAAAAGAGATGAACTTATTACATGTCTGAAAATCCATTATGTGAACATTTCTTTCACAGTTCTTTGAATCTCTCCCAAGCATCAAACAAGGATTCATCATCCTTTTGATGGAAGCAAGTGTCCTCAACTCTTATCTTGTTGTACTTTAATGGTGGAAAATAATTCTTCAAGAAATATGACGTTAAACCTTCCCAAGTTGTGATACTTCCTCTTGGTTGAGATTGTAACCAATTCTTCACCATTTCCCTTAAAAGAAAAGGAAAAAGTCTCAACCTAATGACATTATAAAAAATACTATTCATTTTTAATGTGTCACAATTTTGCAAAAGAATTGAAATGTGGTAATTAGGATATTCCACATTGTTGTCACTGATTGGTCATTCTATATTAAGTTTAGTAATGTTGACTTAATCTCCAAGTTATTTACTGCAATTAGTGATCTCACAATAGAAGAGGAACATCATTTTGATTTAGAAGTAATGAAAACTCCTACAGTGTATCTTTATGTAGGGATTCTCTCAAGCATCTCAAGGTTTTCTCTCTCGTTTTTTTTTTTTTTTTTTTCCTTTTTTTGCTTTTTCTTGCTATATTTCTAACTGTCCTTTCAATTTCAGAATCAAAATGTACAAAATAACCTCAGACCCTCTGTATACAATAAAAGAATTAAAGAGAAGAGTAGAATCTTCTCCCTAAAATCATTGAACCATTGCAAGTGTCTTTCATTGACATTAAACCTTAGAACAATTGACTTGTTACCCCAACAATTATTCAAGAAATTACCACATGAGATATTTATTGCACCTCACTTGAAAGTGGCAAAGGGATACATTGCTAATTTCTGTGTCTCGCCAAAGGCTTCGAATCAAAAAAACTCATGATTGTAGCTTGAAAAAAAATTGACGGAGCTAAATATGGAAAAAGAAAAAGGGTAAAGATAGAAACTTAGAGGGGTTACAAGAGCCCCACTTTCATAACCACAATGAGAGAGAATTTTTACACTGCCATTAACACTAGAAGAATCATGGCTAAAAAGATCAAGAGATGGGTAATTAAAAGAAGACACAGAGACAAAAAATAGCTAAAACATCTTCTAGAGTTTAATTCATGTGATAGGATTCTGACTTTGAGACAAGAACTAAGAAATTCTTTGTAGTCTAAATGGGTCTGGATGTTTGTAATAGAGAGATGATAAAATGAAAGACAACAACATTCTTCTTAAGGAGGTTGTCATTTCTCTAATATCATATTAAGAAACATGACTCATAGGAAGAATGAAATAAAAAGTTGAATAAAAGATGAAAGTATATTGATTAGAATGGTAACATAAAGATGAGTTGCAAGAGTAAAAAACATGGCTTATAGAGCCAACCAACTTTCTTTCTAGTGTAACTAATTTTAATATATTTGACAAAGGATGCTAACTTAGTAGTTTGGGACATGTAATAATAATGAAAATAAAATAATTAACTTTAAAATTTGATGTGATTTTCTTTTATTACTCCATTACCCCTTTATCTCTTTATTTAAATTAAGAGGTGTTGAAGTATAAAAAATATATATAAAGAGAATTTTGAACAACATAATCCTTTCTTTAATTATTCGAACTTTTTAATTTTGCTTAGAGGGATGGGGTACAATAAGAAAAAATTGTAAACTACAAAGATCAATGAACAAGCATTAGTCATATGGTTTTGTATTTAGACAATTTTTACCAATCAACTAAATAATTAACAACCAAAATTTATGGGCATAGTTGAAATCAAAGAATAAATTTGGAAAACATACAAAAGAGGAACTTGTAACCAACAGCTTGAAGGGTCACACTAACAAGAGCAACACATTATAACATTGTGGATGAAGACCAGTAAAGGAGGAGAAGTTGTGTGCATAACTAGATCTTGAGGACAAACAAAAGAAATTGGTAATGAAACAGCGAAGGAGCGTGAACGAAGACAACTAAGGAGTGTGAACAAGAACTAATGTAGTGGACAACATGACGAGATTTCGAGGAAATTGTGCATACACACCATTTCAAATTAGGGATTCAGTTTTTATTTTTATTTTTAATTTAAATAAATATTTACATAATATTATAATTTATTTATTATTATTTTATAATTATATTTTGTGATAGATTATTTAAAAGTTTAAATCTAGCTTTCTAATAAACCATTCACATTTTTCTCCTCTATTTTTTAATTTTTTTTTTATATTTTTAACTCTAAATTATTGCTAATATCTTTTTATTTTTCATTGTTGTTTGTGTGATTTTTTTATTTTATAAATATACTAGAGTTAAGTTTAAAATTTTTATTTTATAAATGCATATTTTTATTCTATGTTATTAGATATATGAACAATCAAAATGTTAAAAAAACACATTAAAATAATATAAGAGTAAAAACTAAAACAATGAATTTTCTATCTTAAAAATAATAAAATTGATTTAATTCAATCAAATTTTTTTCAAATTTATTCTAAATTTTAATTTTAATTTTGATTTGGATATATAGATGTAGAATTTTAATTTTATATTTAAAATAAAAATAAGATTTAAAAAGATTGATTATGTTTTAAAATTGAGAATTTTAACAGTACTTATAATTTAAATTTTATTTTAATAAAATTTAGTAGTTATTATAAATTATATATATGCTTATAAACAAGTTTATTAATCTATTAAACTCATTAACTAGGTATTTGGAGAGAAACACAATAATAGTCACTGAGAGAAGTGTACCTTTAATCGTGATCTTTCGTATTTTTTTTATTAATGTGCTTGTGAATTTCTAATTTTTAAATATGTAGCTCTTGCAATTTAAAATCTTGTGTATTTTAATTTTAAGTTACTATTAATAGTATTGATTTTCAGTTAATTGTAAAATTAATTGGTTAAAATATTTATAGGAAATTAATTAAACATTTAATAAAAAAAAGAGCAAATTTATATTATTATCTTTTAGCTCAAAATTTAAATACATAACTAAAAAAATACTTTAAAAAAAATATATTCACTACAATAGAGAAGATATTAGAGAGCACATCTTCTTGCCTTTCTCTGTTTCGTTAGTGAATTTTGTGTTAGGAATAATAAACCTTATCTTAAGTGGGCTTTTTAAGTAGGAGTGTTAATTAAGAGTTGTCCTCACCCACTAATTCCTTTTTTTATATAATTTCTTATTTTACAAATTAGATCTAATGTGTTAAGGGTGCATTATACTTTAATTATTGAGATTATTTTCATTGTATATGTATTATTAAATTTAAATATATTTTTAAAATAAAAAATTAATTATATATTTTATAATGATTTATAATTTAATAAATATTTTATTATAATAAATAAAATAAAGTTAAAGAGATAGATTTTTTAATTTAAAATTTAATTTAAAATTAAATTAAAAATATACATATTTAACGTAGGAGAAACTATGTAGCAATACGAATAAGAGAACTAATAACATATTTGATCTCACTTGCACTAAATATTTTTTTCAAAATTTTTCGATGCTTCTAGCGGATATATAGATGCACGTTCACAAGTTTCAAATGCACATCTATACATGACTTACTTTTAAAATATTTTTTATTCAAGATAATTCACGTATATAAAATATATTTGTCTCAATTTATTTTAGTATTTTATATTATTTTAAAAATTATATATTTTAACAGTTATATATACTATAAAATATATTTTAAGTTAGTTTTGTGTTTTTTTATTTTTTTTTAATTCTATGATTTAATTATATAACTATATAATTTAACAGTTAATTTTATGATTAAATTATTTAATAAAAAGTAATTAAATGAAGTAATGGTGAATATAATTTATACTATTATATTAAATTTTATATGATTTAAATATTTAGGAAAATGTTATACAAAATTATATATTTATTTATAATTTAAAAATATATTATAAAAAAATAATCAATGGAATATTTAGTATTTTTTTTTTTACATCAAATTTTATAAAATGAAACTATTTTGGATGTTAGATATTTTGGCTCTAGAAGACTATAAACGGGAAAGGGACCAACAATGGTAGGGAAAAGACAGGAAATAGAGAAAAAGAATGGCTGAAAAGCGGTTTTGGATATTGTGGGCGCATTCAGCTGATTTGTAAATAATGATCCATTCCTTTCCTTTATAGTTTCTACCACCGCCTCAGCAAATCACATCACATCACCAACCGGTAACTACTTTTGGGAATGATAATTATTATATAAATATGTTTAAAAAATTATAAACATAAATTCAGCTTCGTTCTAATACATCTCAATGGTTTGGACTTTTCTCAAATAGAAAATAAATTTCTTGAACTTAATTGTATAATATATGCGGTTTTTGGGTCAAACTAACTCAATCTTTTTTGTCTTCCCTGACTGCTTTTACTGCGCTCGAGGTTGAGAGGACCATCATATACGGATATTATTAAATAAAAATAAAATTTTAAAATAAATAATTTAAAATATATTATAATATTAAAAAATAAATGAATAAGTAACCCTTAAAAACAATTTTATTTAAGAAAACTTTTAAAATTACTTGATTTAAGAATTTGAATTTGTATTCACAAGTTATATATAAAAATTATTTATCAAATACTTAAAGATTGATTAATGCATATTAGGGTTCGATTTCAATAAAAATTTTGGGAGGATCAATATGAAATTTGACATGTGTAAGTTAAATATATGATATTATCCATTTAAAAGCATATTGACCAAATTGACTATAAAAATAATATCAAAGAACAATATAAACTTCTGTTTTAAAATACTATACTTAATGATATGATATCAAACTACACTGTTGTTAATTTTAACAAGTTTTAGTCTCAAACTTAATGATATAACCGCTTTCTTGACATGTAGTGAGTCTAATTGTCTTTGTATTAAAAAATAATGAAACTTTAATAAGTTTGAAGAAAGAAATGAATTCTACAAATTTAACAGCAATAAATAAATTGACAAAACCATTCCTAAATGCAATCAGGGCTCGTTAAGTCTAACGCTAGAAAATTAATTATCGTATTTTTCAGTAAAAATGCAAATTTTAATTAAAAAAAATATGGTTTATATTAATTTTTACACATATTTTTAATCATATTTAACAATTTAAAATTAATTTT